AGATTTACACTGGGAATAGTACCGTATATGCTTCAACGTTTTCGTTATTAATTTTCATTGTCTCGGTGTAGGTTAGATCAGTAAATTATCACTAAACTACACACTGATATATGCATGGTTTATAATTGAGTCTTCTTTTTCTACTCTATTAACTTGTACCTTAGTTCAAAAAAATAAAAAATAAAAATACTCAAGTTAAAAAATTTAAGAATGTGTGTCTTATTTTAAATCTTGTTTTGCTAAAACATTCATATAATTACATGAGTAATTTTAATATTTTAGCAATTTCGAAACGTTTATGTCTAACATGGTAAAAAAAGGAAACAAATAATAAATGCTGCATTTTTAAAATTATTATAAATATAGGACTGAGTGGTAGAAGCGGTTACACGTCTGACTTGATGCATGGAAGGCGAAGGCGATAGGTGCCGTGTTGAATGGTAGGTTCGAAACCCGTTGGTGTCTGACTGCTTGTCTTTACTTGGACTATTTTCTGTACCTTTGTCTACCCTTGGCGTTGAAATATCACTTTCTGTTAATATTGCTATTTCAGTTACAACGCCTGCTTCCACCCCCTACACATAGTTACAATAATTAGAGTTTCTGATTGAAAAAAAAAAAGATGAAGTTGTTAAATTTCTGAAGTATGATAATTCAAGTTATAATCTGATACATATATATATATATATATATATATATATATATATATATATATATATATATATATATATATATATATATATATATATATATATATCCATACCCGTCCACGTCTTCCTCCAAACCAAACGGCAACCAATGTCACACACCCTAGCACAGACTCTGTCACCCGTCAACTGACAATCCTCACGTGAACACAACTCGTCCAATGTCAACACACTCAACCAATGGCTACAACTATATACAAAACAGGGTACCTGTCATTCGGTCACACAACACACATTATCAGTGGACGCTACATGTAAGAGGCAGAACAGTATAGGCAGGGGCGGAACTACAGTACCGCCAGACCCCGCAATGCGGGGGGGGGGGGGGGGGGGGCCGGGCCATTTAGGGGCCCACAGCCGACCATAATCAATTTATTTTTTTAGTTAAAAAAAATCTTGATACATTTTTGACTTTATGGTTGTTTTGTAAAAAGAATACCGTAGCTGCGGTTTCATTATCTTTATTCTATAGACGCCATCCCGGGTCCTCTTTCTCCAACAATCAAACACACGCTGTTGTCGGAAAAATTCGTATGAAAATCGCGTGAATGATAGGCAAGCGTTCAAACCACTTCCATGACTTATTTCCCTTTTTCAAATAGTCAAGTATGTGTGCTCTTAAGCTCCTTTTAATAGATGTGCACTAAACAAATTAAAAAGCAATTACATATCTTAATTATTATTTAAAAAAATTCATAATAAAGAATGACAAAGCATAAAAAGGAAATGTATTTAAAACTAATAATATAAATACAAAAAAACATGAAAATAAACATAACGCGGAAAACCATTACACATACAAAGCTTTCATGCTTCATATTCTTTTGACCGACCAACATACTGGAAACATGAACACATATTTAAAACAGAGATTTTCAGACTAATAGCACTCACACACACAGAGTGGATAGTGAGACTGATCTTCGATTTTACGCTGTTTACGATTGTCACTATTAAAAAAAAAAAAATAGCACTCACAGAATTGTGACGTGTTCTTGTAAATTGTTTTAATTTCTTTAAAAAAAAAAATTTAGTATTTTTAATTTTAAAAAAAATCGAACAATCCCGAAATGAGTACTGTGTTGGTATTTTCGTATTTTGTTTATATACAAAGGCACACACACACACACACACACACACACACACACACACACATATATATATATATATATATATATATATATATATATATATATATATATATATATATATATAGATGGGGCCCAAAAAATTTCTTTGCGGGGTGGCCCTTTTTTTCTAGTTCCGCCACTGAGTATAGGAGTGTGGTAACATATTTTATCACCTTCTACACCACCTACTTTGACAGTACATTATATTAGTAGGATTGCCATATCAGAAACCCAGAGGGGTAGCTAGGGGAGGAAGGGTGGGGCGGCCGCCCAGGCGACGACCAGGGGGGTGCCAAAAGGGTAAAAAAAAAACCCCTTATTCTGCAAAGTTAAATTTAAGAAATTAGATTAAGACAAGGCTTTACATGATTTCCTTAATTTGTGTATGTATGAGTGTGTATGTGTATGTGTGTGTGTGGGGGTGGGGGGGGGTGGAGTGGGGGCAGTGGGGCGCTTTTTTTGCCAACATTTGAATCGGTTGGCACAACATTGATAGTTCGCCCCGGGCGCCGTAATAGATCGCTACGCCTCTGCAGAAACCGTGAAAGTATTTGGTCTCTAATGTAATAGATCCCGACAATAGGAACTTCAATCAAATAATAGTCTCTGATCATGCTCGCTGAAGTTGAGTGAAACATTTCACTACACAGATATAGTCGCTTCTTCTCTTAACAACAGTCGCTAGAGAAATCGTACATTATTCATTACGAGAAAAATGGCCCGTTGAGGAAGGATACAACGGGCGCTAGGCAGATAGTGCTGTCTCTTTTCTCTAAACTAAAACCACCCACCCCCCCCACACCCCCCCCCACCCCCCCCCCCACCCCCCACCCCCCAAAAACATGTCTACCGTCCCATTCAACTAAATATAATTATATACTTTTTCCAGTGTCCGCCCCCTCTCCTAAAATTCTACCCCCGCCCTCGAAAATTTCAAGTACCCCCACCCCTCTCCGGGGAGGAAAAAGTCTGAAAGAAACACTGGTGTCGCGCTTAGCCACTACGCGAAGAATTGCATTAAAGAAATTGCAAGAAAACCACTTTTTAGATTAGACACATTAATTAGGCGGTAGTTTTATTATAGAGTATCGATGAAGAAATTTCTTTTGAGTTGGGGAGGGGGGGGGGGACTCAGACGTTCTTACGCGGGGGTGGGGCTTCGCCCCTACCCGAAGAATTGTATGCAAGAAACTCTTCACGCAAACCATTTAGATTAGACAAAATTTCCTTTTTTTCAATGTTTACTCGAGAATCAATGACGTCATATTACTGTGTGCACTCTCCGGCTTGAGATTATTTTCTACTCTATGCTAAATGTGACCGCGTCATACTTCGTTTTTCGAATTACTGTGCATGTTTTTATTTTGCTTGTGTTTTCTCTAGAGCGTTCTTGTCAGATAGATAGATACATAGACAGACGGCGAAACTATTAGTATTAATTACATCTGGTATCTTTTAAAAAAACATTAGTATTAACGAGTGTACTAATTTACTACCTTACTCGATGTAAATCCATTAGATTTGCATTTGCGAGACAGTGCCTCCCCCGGGATGGTGAGCGTTTTTTTGTATGGTCAATGACTCTAAACATATGTGTTTTATTATTACACAATCAAGGCCAAAAACAGTCAAAAATTAATGTGTAAGACCTTGTAGCCTTTTTCTCAGTTTGACTGCGTATAAACATACAGAGCTTAAAATAAGCGTATTATTTTTTCCTACGCCCTGTGGCCCTATACTGGTTGGGCGCTCGTGGCGGCCGCCGTCTCCACCCCGCCCCCCCCCCCCCCCCCCACTAGCTTTAAAACCTTGCTCTTGTCTCTTAGATCTCCCTACAAACTTAGTACGTTGCTCCTTCAATATCATAGCTGTTTATTTATTTAACAAGCCTCTTGCTAGCCATATTAAGGCAGTCCATAGGTTCCATTGCAATTTTTATTTCTCATCGACTATAAAATAATTGAATGATATAACAAATCAAGTGACCTCACATTCTCAGACATCATGGTTAGATGCTTGTCTGTTGTACAGTTTACTTTATAGGCTGGCAAACCCTCAGAAAACTGGGTGGGGGAGGAAGGAGGAGAGAATATCTTGGGATTTAATAAAAGCTTCTAAAGAAAAGAAAGCAACTCTACTCAGTTTAATTTGTTATCTATTTTTTACTTCCCTCTTTTGGGATTTTGAGATGTAGTAATAAAGGTATCGATAATAAGGGATCCAGCACAATTGGGCATACGTGTCAACTGGTTATGCGCCATTGAGGCCATTGACTCCAATATCAGCCTGCTTTTCCATAAACAACCAAGAACAAACTACAAGACAGCAGTTGTTTGATTTTGGAGAGTGGCTGCCCCCAGCTAGCTAGCCTCATCTGCCCGAGGGTTCGAACTTGAGGCTTTTCGGTTTAGCAACCATGAGCTTTACCTACTCAACCACGTTTGTAAATCCCCCGTTTGTAAATCATTTTACAATTTGATTAACCTTATTGAAAGTAAGACAAGTCACCATTATGTTATTAATTTCGATTAAATATAAACTTTAAAAATGCTTTGTTATAATATGTTATTTTTTTATATCCTTTACACACAATTAAATATTTTACGAACTATTATGCACTATTATTTAATATTATTTTTATCATTAAACATTTACTTATACAATAAAACTAGAGTACCCGTCGCACATTGCTGCGGTCGTCCTACATAGTGGTAAAGATACTCCTGGTACAGTTTGACCACTGAATCAAGTAGTACCCTTGCCCCCACTTACAGGACTATCAATGAACGGATCCCAGTGCTTAGACAGCCGCTGGGGAACTCTGGGCGCCGAACCTGAGCTTACAGCCGGGGCACTGTTGCTCCGAAAGCGATTTTCTAAGAACTTTCAAGAACTTCCCCAAGTTTTATTGTGATCTCATAAAGGTGTAGTACTTCATATAAGACACACTCACAGACAGATTACACACACAAACACGGTTATAGTCATATATATATATATATATATATGTATATATATATATATATATATATATATATATATATATATATATATATATATATATATATATATATGATTTTATTTTTGTTCCAAATAAAAAATATAAAAAATACTGAACTAAAAAGTACAAAATAAATAAATCTTTTAATTGTTTAATAATGCACTACTATTTAAATAACTATTAAAAAAGCATGTGCCGCTTCTCTTCTCAAATTTGAGTAAAGGTATTCAATAGATTATATCGAGAACATAGCTTTTATTTATAGCTATTCTATTGCACAAACATATGAGTTGTTATACACGTCACATAGAAACAAAAATTTGTGATGGATTCGTATATTCAAAACATTTTGATTATTAAAGTTTACTGTGCGTTTTCGAAGATGCGTTTTGACATTAGCAAACAGTAACAAATCAATCTTTGATAAACAAAAATACATTACAAGTTTTTCGCAGTTTCGCTCATATAAATAGGATAATCATTCAACAGCTCGTATTACTTTTTAGATCGACAAAAATAAATCATTCAACCGAATAGAAACAAATAACCATAGTGAATATTAAACACAGTGTATAGATTTACCATTTAGAGTTTGCTAGAAATGAAGCTACTTAAAAACTTGCTTATTTGTAAACTTCCTTGTAGGATTAAAAAACCTAAATGAGTTTGTAGGTCCAGTCCTAACGCTATTTTTGGTTATCTTTAAATAGACTGCTAGCTCGAAAGTCTCGAGTTCGAATCCGGATTTCGTTAAGTGGAACGTTTCTGAGTCCACATACCTCTGATGTGTACCTAACTCACGTTAGGGTAAGTAAAGGCTGTTGAACATAGTGCTGACAACACTATCCTTTCATATGCCGAGGTCAAGAAACATGAACTCCAGATCATCTGCCCAATGGATCGCTTGGTCTAAAAAGGAATCTTTACTTTTTCTTTTGTGGAATATAATTTAACCTCTTAATATTCATCTCTTTGAACTCAACCATCAATGCGTTTTCCCCTCCTTATTTGCATATGAACTCTAATTAATTTTGAGCAACGTATTTCTGTTCTACTTAATGGCAGTTTTCGCACCATTATTCGCATTTTGTACACTATATACATTATTGCAGATAATTCCCGCTCCGCATTTCACATCTACACGTTTTTCCTCTTTTCTCTCTCTCTCTTTTGTCGACTACCTTCTCAAAATCTATCCCTGTTACTTGCGTCCCCCTGCGCCGTGCCCCTCCCTGCCCTGAATCCCTCCATGCCCCGGGAGTCCAACAGGTGGATCGACCCTGAGGCTATGTACACCGCCTGACTGACCATGAACAGTACGAATGACCAACCGACGTCGTAGGTGAGCTTGGAGATTTCCGTGAAGATGCTCTTCAGTTCACCTGTCGCCACAGCCACACCAATGATGCCAGCTAAAGCTAGCGGTAAAAAAAAAATTGTTATTGTAAAACTTTTTGAAATATGAGAAAAACATTTTATAAGTCGCCAAAGTCACCCCTATGATGATAGTTAACGTTAGCAGTAAAAAAAAGTGTTTTTGTAAAACATTTTGAAATATGAGAAAAACATTTCATAAGTCGCCAAAGCCACCCCTATGATGATAGTTAAAGCTAGCAGTAAAAAAAATTGTTATTGTAAAACATTTTAAAATATGAGAAAAACATTTCATAAGTAGCCAAAGCCACCCCTATAATGATAGTTAAAGCTAGCAGTAAAAAAATGTTATTTTAAAACATTTTGAAATATGAGAAAAACATTTCATAAGTCGCCAAAGCCACCCCTATGATGATAGTTAAAGCTAGCAGTAAAAAAAATTGTTATTGTAAAACATTTTGAAATATGAGAAAAACATTTCATAAGTCGCCAAAGCCACCCCTATAATGATAGTTAAAGCTAGCAGTAAAAAAATGTTATTTTAAAACATTTTGAAATATAAGAAAAAACATTTCATAAGTCGCCAAACCCACCCCTATGATGATAGTTAAAGCTAGCAGTAAAAAAATGGTTACTGTAAAACATATTGAAATATGAGAAAAACATTTTATAAGTCGCCAAAGCCACCCCTATGATGATAGTTAAACTTAGCAGTAAAAAAATGGTTACTGTAAAACATATTGAAATATGAGAAAAACATTTCATAAGTCGCCAAAGCCACCCCTATAATGATAGTTAAACTTAGCAGTAAAAAAATGGTTACTGTAAAACATATTGAAATATGAGAAAAACATTTCATAAGTCGCCAAAGCCACCCCTATGATGATAGTTAAACTTAGCAGTAAAAAAATGGTTACTGTAAAACATATTGAAATATGAGAAAAACATTTCATAAGTCGCCAAAGTTAAACTTAGCAGTAAAAACATGGTTATTGTAAAAACATTTTGAAATATGAGAAAATATATTTCATAAGTTAAACAAAAAATTGACGATAGAGCTTGCAAGTCTCGTTCTCTCTCACTTAAAATTCAAAATCTCGTTAGTGAGGGAAATATATGAATGTTTGATCTAAATTAATTGTTTAGAACAAAACACACTGGGGCTGTTTCTTTCTAAGCCACGCTTCAAGATTTTAAAATATCAAAAGTACCCAAAATGCAACAATTAAATTTGTTTTACTAATAATGGAATCAAGGGAAGTAACAGTAGGCCTAGGTTATTGTACCATATTTTATATTTTAGGGCAATTTGTTAAGGATTCAAATAGATAAGGGGTCGTCCATAAATGACGTCACACTCGTAAAGGGGACGGGGTGGGGGGTCCGTAATTTTGCGACGGTGTGTGATGAGGGGGAGATGTGGCGAAATTCTATTGAAATTAATGCTAAATTTAATGGAATTTCACCATACACAGGTTTTGAAAACTCGAAAAAATATTTCTAGCTGTTTTTCGGTTACAAAAACTAGCCAGCTGACTCTATTAGTGTTAGTACAAGAAGGATCAATTGTTATATAGCCGATATATAATTGTTAGTGTTTGAAATTTTAGAACTCCACAAAAGGTAGTTTTTTTTCTATGATTGCCGCCGTTTCCATGGCAACCATATTTTCACAAGAGTCCCCGGTACATGCAAATATTTCCCTTAAGTACCCTACACAAATAAATAAAACAGGCTTATTAATTTAAAAAAAATTATACCCCTTTTTTTCCGGAGCCTACCCCCTTAGTATAGGAAATCATCATTGACATTGACCTAACAAATCTTGCATCACTAGCCTTGACATAGCCTTGAAACCCCGCTACTTACCCTAAACACACGAACACACAGCGTCAGTAAGTTTAACCTGACCCAGTTATCTACGACCTTGACCTTACCAGAAAAAAATGCCGTCGCCGCTGTGGCGAATGGCACGAGTTTTGTGGGCTTCATTAGCAGGGACAATGACGTCATCAATATTGTGACGAACTCAGCGCACAGAGAGATGGCCATTAACCCTTTACTGGCATCCAGCCACCCTAAGATCAGGCGTATTAAAATTAATTATTAATATTATTAAAATAGACATTCGAACGCATAATTATTTTGTACAGATCTAATAAAATTAGCTTCTACATTCGAATTTAAGTTGTACAAAATTAATTGATGCGCACAGGATTTAATTTTTTCTTATGTCAAATTATTGAACCAGTTTATTTCTCAAATATTTAATTTGAAATACTACAATAACAGTAGAGTGAAGTAGTCGTATTGTTGTAGGAAGAATGTCGGGAGCCGTGTGCAAAACATCAGCGGACAGTTCTTCTACTTTTAGGATAGGAAAAAGAGGCTTGGCTAATTGCTGAGCACACTGTCTCTTCATATGCAGAGACCAAGAAACATATAAACTCTACTTCCTATGCCCAATGGATCGGCATGTCTAAAGACGAATTTGTACTTTCTTTAAGTTTTGGAAAAGGACGCAAAGTGACTTACGTTTGGAAATCAACATGTAATGAAAAAAAATAGAGTTTAATTTCTAACAGGCTGAATTTATTTTTTTTTCCTTTTAGACTAGAAAAATCAACTGAGTAAATACTGAGTCCACCTGTTTCTATGACATCGGGGAAAAAATAGTCAGCTGTGCTTTTCCACATAATTCAGATGCTTAACAGAATTGAGTGGACTCTAAAATGTTTTACGTGCTCAAGCAGGTGGTCGAAACCCAGTCATACGGGCTAGTGGTCGAGAACTCTATTACTTGACCATGCCGTCCCTACAACAAGCTTACTTTTTAAATAACTTCTATGATCTTGGTAACTCTCCTGTTTTTTTGAGGAGTTTCTAACTACAGTAACAACTCGTACCCATGTCGTATTTTTGATACTTCAAATAGCTGGTGTCGTAGCATTTGTCGTTCATGTCACAGAATTTCCATAGACCAGCGTTGGCCGTTTTGCCTCCAATTTCTATCAAAACGAGGTAGTTGGTGGAGAATCCTATGATGGTCAGCAAAAGACCTGGGAAGAAGAAATTAATGAGACAGTAATATACCTGGAGTAATGGGCCATGGGGTCAGCGAAAGGCCTAGGGGTGATAGGTTATGACGTCAGCAAAAGACCTGGGGATAATAGTTCACGAGATCAGCGAAAGACCTTAGGGTAATAGGTTGTGACGTCAGTGCATGGCATGGGGGGGGGGGGGGTAGGTTATGAGGTCAGCGAAAGACATGGACGCAGAAGTTTTTGATGTCAGTAAAAGACAGGGGTAATAGGTCATGCTGAGCAGCAAATTATATAGGCTTAAAACGTCAACGTGTAATTAAAAAATGCCAAGTTTGAGTTGAAAGCTATTGATGATCAACATATTTTGATATAAGAAATAGTGAGCGTATTACGAACATTTATTTAAATGACGATGAAAGCAGACTTGACAATGGCTATACGATGGTCAGGAAGTTGCCTATTTATGTAAGTAATACGATTCTTAGTAATATATCTACCTATTACACAATTTTGTTTTTGCCTAAACTAGCGCTCAGTTTTCACATCTACGGTAAAAGTATAATCAGGTGTGTTTCAACGATATGCATTCTTGGGTACAGCTAATTGATTGTAAAATCATCGTAAAAGAATAATTAATGAAATAAAATTATATATAGTCTTATATATATATATATATATATATATATATATATATATATATATATATATATATATATATATATATATATATATATATATTACTATATGCTATTTTAATACTGATATAGAAAAAAATTATACACGTTTTACGATAACTGATCGAAGTGGACTAACTATTGTTTAGAGATCAGCAACGATTGATAAACCAAGTTGTCAAAGATAAAATCTAACTTTAAGACAGCTTTGATACACCATTCATAGATTGCTATCTGCAAACTACATGATGCGCTTTTGTGTTACATATAAAATGAAGTGTCGTTGGTTAGTCAAAATAACAAAACACAATATGTATATATGGTTAAGGTAGACACGTATAAATTGCTAAACAATTTAATGCGGAGAAGAATTAAGACATGTTACAATTTTAAAACAATGAGAATTGTGAGAGCACTTGACTGCTTACTCGGAAGTCTCGAGTTCGAATGTAGGTTCAAGTCAGTAGAAGATCCCTGAGTGCACCCAGCTCTAGTGTGTACCAAAGTAAAGGTGTCTGGACATAGTGATGACCACACTATCCTTTCATATTGTGTTTTCACAAAAACAGGTGAACTCTACTTCACTTTACCCATATTATAAAACCGTTAGGTAAAAAAAAAATGGTACTTTGTTTAGTAAATGAAATAACCAACCTCCATTACATTGATTCAATCTGGGTTGTTTAATTGAGAATTTGACTTTAATTATAAAATACAAAGCTACAACCCTGCTCTATCTGCTCTATTGATCCTCTCCTTCGTTCGTGGTTGAAATGATTCCCTCCAACAAAATTATGTATTATGTGTCAATCGTTATGATTTCAGCCTGCTTTTATTTTTAAACTTGCTTCCATAGCTTTTGTCCAACCGAGAACAAACTACAATGCAGCAGTTGTTTGATTTTGGAGTAGTCTCTCCTAGAAGATTGGCTGTCCCCAGCTAACGAGCCTCATCTGCCCGAGTGTTTGATCTCGAGACTCTATCAACCATGAGCTTTACCGACCCCTGATCATTTGTTTAAAAATGCAAAGTTTAAACCACTGACCTAGAGCTTGAATACAAATAGCAACCTTCCACAGAATCGATGTGTCGCGAAATGCCATGATAAACCACTGTTTACAAACACTGAAACACACAGAAAAAAATCACACATTAAAACGGGCCTTAAAAGTCGTGGTCAAATGCTAAATCAGACAACTGCTAACTTAAAGTCACGAGTTCGGTTCTAGATGCGAATCCGTGTATACTCCTTGTTTCTGCCTAGTTTCAATGGATGCCTAATACTATTAGGGAAAGTGAAGGCGGTTTGGCACTGCATAGGGCACACTGTACATTCATATACCGTGATCAAGGCACTCTTCATCAAAGATATAGACATTCGTGAGTGAGCAAGTAGCTTTTTACTTGCGCTCATTTGAAAAAATTAAATATAATTTGACTATCTCATTAACTTGGCAAGCACTGGATAGTATTCTACAATGTAATAATAATACACGCTATCGTTTGATGTTTATATACATTTCAAGTCTTGCATCTAAACTTTGAGATCAGTTAACATAAAATACCCATGTGTTTGCTATAGGCCTACTCGTGATAATAAAAACGTTGTATAGACATACTTATTTTAAGAACTAAATAAAGTATTAAATTAAAGGTTAGGACTAAGATAGCGATACATCGAACATATCTTCAACATATCTATACAAGCATCTAACACTTATCAATGAAATTAAACTGTGTAGAGAGAAACTTACAACAAAAGATCTTTTTTATTTCTAACTGGCCGGCTTGCTAGGCGTACCCCATCAATAAACCGGAAATTTCCGGCACATTTTGTCACATTAGCGTTTCTGTACTAAACCAAATGTAGGTATCACACTGAGAAGCCGGTGACTTGGCTAATGCACCAACACACTCACCGTACACACGGCTATATGTAACTAAATCTAAGATAAAAAAGTGACTGTCCGCGAAGTGACTGTTTGGGTTATCTAATGTAAGGAGATAACGAGTGGTGATAACATTCGTTGTGTTTTACAGGTGAATATTTGCTTGTCAGGCAGTATGTTTTTTAAACTGCTAATTCGGTCTACAAATAACAGCAAAATGATGGACTTATCACGTTGACAAATCAAAACCTTAAAAGTTCACAGCTAAGCAATGATTTAGTCTAAACGGTTAAGCAAACACAATCTAAGGCTGATTAAAGCTTCTGTAAAATTGTTTGTAGGTAATACATAGAGTTAACTCAAGGTATTTAACGTCGGCGTGGTCATGTCGGTAAAGCTTATGGCTGCTAAACCGATAATTCTCGAGTTTGAACCCTCGGGCAGATGAGGCTCGATAGCTGGGAACAGTAACCCGTCTAGGAGAGACAACTCCAAAATCAAACAACCGTTGCCGTGTAGTTTGTTCTCGGTTGGACAAAGGCTGTGGAAGCAAATCCAAAAAGAAAGCAGGCTGAAATCGGAGTCAAAGACCTAAATGGCGCATAACCAAGTGTCGCCAATTAAAAAAAAACAGTAATTTTAAAATGGTTATGTTTAAAATAACATTTTGATTTTGAAAATTGTCCCATTATATGACATGGGAATTTTTTAAAATAGATATTTTTTATTCAAAAACAAAATTGATGACAACATAAATTTACAGAAGAAACCTCTCATACATGATCAAACTGAAGAGGCTGTTTTATGTTAGATATTTACACAATACAGCATGAAAGATGAAAGTGCGCGGACCACAGGTGCTTTGACCATAGGGGCTTTGGCCACAGCGGGGCTTTGACCATAACAGGGCTTTGACCATAGGGGCTTTGACCATATGGGCTTTGACCATAGGGGCTTTGACCATATGGGCTTTGACCATAGGGGCTTTGACCATATGGGCTTTGACCATAGGGGCTTTGACCATAGAGGGTTTGACCAAAACGTGTCTTTGACCATAGGGCCTTTGACCATAGGTACGGATTAGTTTTAAAAATTGGAATCAAACACACACTATTGGCGATGGTGTACCACGAACAAATAACAATTGTGAAGGATGGCATTACAGTCTTCAGTCTCTCCTCCAATTTAGTCACCCAACAATGTGGCGTTTCCTTGAAGGTCTACAGATGGACTGCATACGGCAAATGACAACTTTCTTGCAAGGTGTCGCAGGAGCAAGCTACCCAGCTGAGAAGCGATACAGAATGCTGCACGAAAAATTACAACTTGCTGTTCAGACATATGGTCAAACAGATGTACTGATATATGGTCAATCAGATGTAGGCCTACTGACATATAGTCAAAATAAAATATCGTTATTGACCTTTTTTTAATACATGTTAATTTTTATCAATTGACTCTCATGAAACATGTATAAAATCGTATTAACTGTATCATAAATTTAAATCAAATAACAGTTTCTAATTTCTATTTATTAAAAATCTATATATTATGTTGAACCCTACTCTTTGGTCAAAGCCCCGTTGTGGTCAAACCCCCTATGGTCAAAGCCCATCTGTGGTCAAAGGCCCGCTGTGTACAAAGCCCCTATGGACAAACCCCCTATTGTCAAACCCCCTATGGTCAAACCCCCTAAAGTCAAAGCACCTGTGGTCAAAGCACCTAAGACCAGGATGAAACATTTGAACATGTTGAGATGATGATGATGAACCTTTATACAAATGAAGTCAGTGGTGAAATAGTTGAATTGCTCAGATTCTTTCTTGAGACTCTAATATTACAACCCTGTCACCACCATTCCTATGTTTCGCTTTTCTCCTGATTTTGTTTCTTCAAGTGCATCAACAACACCAAGATTCAAAGGGTCAAAGCCTTAGGAAAAAAAGAAAACTCATTCAGTAATTTGGTTTGAAACAACTTTATTTATATATAAACATATATAAACATTGATCTAGCGTTTTTACATAAACTTAAACGGAGTCTTGTATTAAATTTCAACTTTCTAAAACATAAATAAAAACAAAAATACAAATAACTTAAAGCAATAATATGTGTTATTCAAAAACATTTAATTTCGAAAAGTTTATTAATATCTTTTTATCAAAACAATCTTTGTTTGTTTGAAATTACGCTTGAATTATACGTTCTCTCCCTTGATATTAAGATAAAATAAATGAGGTGTTTCACATCCACGGTAGATAATTCGTTTAAGTTTTTTTTGTCAAGTATGGTTTGTCTACAGATATTTGGTCTATCGACCTTTAACCCACCACGATATGTGATCTACACGACAATTGGTCAATACGACAATTTATCTACATGACATTTGGTCTACATGACATTTGGTCTACACGACATTTGGTCTACACGACATTTGGTATACACGACATTTGGTCTACACGACATTTGGTCTACACGACATTTGATCTACACGACATTTGGTCTACACGACATTCGGTCTACATGACATTTGGCCTACACGACATTTGGTCTACACGACATTTGGTCTACACGACATTTGGTCTACACGACATTTGGTCTACACATTTGGTCTACACGACATTTGGTCTACACGACATTTGGTCTACACGACATTTGGTCTACACGACATTTGGTCTACACATTTGGTCTACACATTTGGTCTACACGACATTTGATCTACACGACATTTGATCTACACGACATTTGATCTACACGACATTTGATCTACACGACATTTGATCTACACGACATTTGGTCTACACGACATTTGATCTACACGACATTTGGTCTACACGACATTTGGTCTACACGACATTTGGTCTACACGACATTTCGTCTACACATTTGGTCTACACGACATTTGATCTACACGACATTTGATCTACACGACATTTGGTCTACACGACATTTCGTCTACACATTTGGTCTACACGACATTTGATCTACACGACATTTGATCTACACGACATTTGATCTACACGACATTTGATCTACACGACATTTGATCTACACGACATTTGATCTACACGACATTTGGTCTACACGACATTTGATCTACACGACATTTGGTCTACACGACATTTGGTCTACACGACATTTGGTCTACACGACATTTCGTCTACACATTTGGTCTACACGACATTTGATCTACACGACATTTGATCTACACGACATTTGGTCTACACGACATTTCGTCTACACGACATTTGGTCTACACGACATTTGATCTACACGACATTTGATCTACACGACATTTGGTCTACACGACATTTGGTCTACACGACATTTGGTCTACACATTTGGTCTACACGACATTTGATCTACACGACATTTGGTCTACACGACATTTGGTCTACACGACATTTGGTCTACACGACATTTGGTCTACACGACATTTGATCTACACGACATTTGGTCTACACGACATTTGGTCTACACGACATTTAAATTTGGTTTACACGACATTTGGTCTACACGACATTTGGTCTACACGACATTTGGTCTACACGACATTTGTTCTACACGACATTTGGTCTACATGACATTTGGTCTACACATTTGGTCTACACGACATTTGGTCTACACGACATTTGGTCTACACGACATTTGGTCTACACGACATTTGGCGTACACTACATTTGGTCTACACGACATTTGATCTACACGACATTTGGTCTACACGACATTTAAATTTGGTCTACACGACATTTGGTCTACACGACATTTGGTCTACACGACATTTGGTCTACACGACATTTGTTCTACACGACATTTGGTCTACACGACATTTGGTCTACACGACATTTGGTCTACACGACATTTGGTCTACACATTTGGTCTACACGACATTTGATCTACACGACATTTGGTCTACACGACATTTGGTCTACACGACATTTGTTCTACACGACATTTGGTCTACACGACATTTGATCTACACGACATTTGGTCTACACGACATTTGGTCTACACGACATTTAAATTTGGTTTACACGACATTTGGTCTACACGACATTTGGTCTACACGACATTTGGTCTACACGACATTTGGTCTACACGACATTTGTTCTACAAGACATTTGGTCTACATGACATTTGGTCTACACATTTGGTCTACACGACATTTAGTCTACACGACATTTGGTCTACACGACATTTGGTCTACACGACATTTGGCGTACACTACATTTGGTCTACACGACATTTGATCTACACGACATTTGGTCTACACGACATTTAAATTTGGTCTACACGACATTTGGTCTACACGACATTTGGTCTACACGACATTTGGTCTACACGACATTTGTTCTACACGACATTTGGTCTACATGACATTTGGCCTACATGACATTTGGTCTACACGATATTTGGTCTACACGACATTTGGCGTACACTACATTTGGTCTACACGACATTTGATCTACACGACATTTGGTCTACACGACATTTAAATTTGGTCTACACGACCTTTGTTCTACACGACATTTGGTCTACATGACATTTGGCCTACATGACATTTGGTCTACACGATATTTGGTCTACACATTTGGTTTACACGACATTTGGTCTACACGACATTTGGTCTACACGACATTTGGTCTACACGACATTTGGTCTACACGACATTTGGTCTACACGATATTTGGTCTACACATTTGGTCTACACGACATTTGATCTACACGACATTTGGTCTACACGACATTTGGTCTACACGACATTTGGTCTACACGACATTTGGTCTACACGACATTTGGTCTACACGACATTTGGTCTACACGACATTTGGTCTACACGACATTTGGTCTACACGACATTTGGTCTACACGACATTTGTTCTACACGACATTTGGTCTACATGACATTTGGCCTACATGACATTTGGTCTACACGACATTTGGTCTACATGACATTTGGCCTACATGACATTTGGTCTACACGATATTTGGTCTACACGACATTTGGCGTACATTACAT